AGCAGCAGCAGCAGCAGCAGCAGCAGCAGCAGCAGCAGCAGCAGCAGCAGCAGCAGCAAGAACTCTTCTTCAGGAGCCTGGAGGGGAAAAGGCAAGGGGGACGCGAAGGGGGAGAGGCGGGTCTTGCCCAGGGGAGTCGGCTGCAGCTCCGAGCGTTTCGTTGCGTAGCCTGCCGCGGGAACAGAGAGTCGAGTCCGTAATGGAACAAATAGAGGAATCTGGCCGTGGGGAGTGGGAGCCCCTGCGCTCCGTTTTGTTTCTCCTCCCTCTTCCCAAGCCTCGCTGTGGCGGAGGGATTTTGGGTGATTATGTCATCGAAAGGACAAAACTCTTCAGTGCCTCTGCAGTGCAGTAACAGCAATAAAGTCCTGGAGATGGTCCAGACTAAACGCCTTTTAAGCACGAATGGAGTAAAGCACAGGAAGAAGGTGATTATATCTGCTTTGCACGCGCGCGCGCACACGCACACGCACACACATCTGTTTTTGACATGGTTGCTAATAGCATGCAAATACTGATGCTTTAGCTTTAGCTGAAGTCTCAGGTAACATTAGCTACAGGCACGATGCTCTGCTGTTCAGTCTTGCTGCATGCAATACAACAGGGATGCTGTTTTTCAGATCTCTGCCTTTGGGGGAGGTGCAAATTCCATACAGGACGGATGGCTGGCGATCCTGGCCTCTTTTTGTTTGTTCCACAGCTTCATGGGTTGTGTAGCACAATCTTCTGGCGGTGTCCGCTTGCTTTAATATTTGTTTCATGGTTGGAGCATTTACTGTCCCTTTTTCTATAATAATTCATGGTTTGTGGTTATGCATGTTGCTTTTTGGATGTGTGTTTAGGAACTCTTGGAATCCCCAAGAGAGCTTCTGTGTGATTGAAGCTGAAGCACAGACTTCCCTAATTTCAGCATAATTTGCCCATTAGCTGTGTCGTTCTCAAAATCTGGGCATGTTCAGAAGGGCGAACGGAAATATCAAGGCCCCTTCTTTCTCTTCCCTTTTCTCAAGGTTTTTTCCTCCAAAAAACGAAAAAAAGCAGCAAATGCAGCAGAGTGGGAAAATGCAACTTCACTGACTTCCAAAGTTAACAGTGCTGTGGACGGCGGGAGGGGAAAGGGGAACTGAAGTCTGAACTGAAGTCTCCCCGGAACTGGGGGAGTGGGTCATGTTAAAATATGGCAACTAAGACATGTTGCCAATAATAATAATAATAATGCAAAATGTTTTGATATGGCCTATTCTGAATCTGAAAGTTATTTCAAGCCCAGTCAGAATATACCAGTCCTATCATTTTGGAGATGTTTTGCATCTGAAATGTCCAGAAAGCCTGAAACTTCCTCTTCCAAACAACCTATTTTCCACTCAAATTCCTTGTTTTGGACTTAACCAGTGTATTTGGATTTCAGACTGCTTCGAATCTGAAGCACAGTACAAACCACTAATAAAGAGTTGAAGTTTTTTCTGTGTAAGATCTCACCATACAAAGCAAACAGATACAGTCGTATGAAAAAGAAAGCACACCCTCTTTGAGTTCTATGGTTTTACATATCAGGACATGATAAAAATCATCT